CCTTCCATCCCTCCCACTCCTCGCTCCACGTCTTGTGTTGCCCCTCCTTCGTTGTCTTCCTTTTTTTACACTCGCCTTCCTGTTTGCATTTGCATTCGCGCATCCACATTGTTGACCAATGCCGAACGACTTCTTCAATAATTCCACACATTCGTGTACTTCTTCCCGCTCTGCAGCGCAAGCAACAATCAACAAGCACACGCTCGCGACAATGTCCCTGTACGACTACTCCCATCATGCCACCCTCTCTCTCACCCGGTACGTACTTCTTTCCCTGCCCATTCAATGTTTGACATCACTTTCGATAGGCCACACTGCGTGCATTTGCATTCCTCTGTGCCAGGCATGACACTGCATTGAACGGAAGCAGTGACCCACCACTCACGCCGCCTGCACTGAGTCTGTCCATGACTTCCACGTTGCCTTGTCTCTTCACGTCAGAACGTCCCAGAGATACACCATTGCGATCCATGGCCCAGCACACCACACCCCCCATTGCCTGCTTTAGCAAGAGCATGTAGTACACATGCACAGACACAGATTCGCCTGTAGCTCAAATCAGCTCGCTCGACGCTCCAGATCTCAACCCAGTGCACTACCCGCCCTTCCTACACGTTGTCATGGTGTGTCCCTCTCCTCACTTCAATTACCTGCACTTGCTAACAATTCTGTCCCTTAGGCAAAGACTGGTCTGATAAATATTCAAAGTATGATTCTCTACAACTGGACACTCCTTTCCTTTCCTTTCCTTTCCTTTCCTTTCCTTTCCTTTCCTTTCCTTTCCTTCTCTGTTATTTATTTTTGTGTCTGCATGATTGTTTCACAAGTACAATATTATTAGAATGAAATGTAGTAGAAATAAATTAATGCAAGTGTATTAAAATGTAAATACTTAATTATAAGAGGAAAAAAGGAGAAATAAATGAACACCTGGATTGTAAAATATTATAACTATTTTAAAGCCTTGTAAAGCTCTTATAAAGTATAATAATGTTTAACAATATACATACTACTTTTAAAACTTTACATTAGATTGTATACATTATAAAACTATATTACTCTTGTTAAAATACAAAGTTCTTTTAATATCTTTTCATTTTAGGAGGTTGGATATAAGTTTGTTTACATATTGTCAACACTTATAAACCTTATTCATATTAACAATTTGTACATACCTTTTTGTATCTTACATAGCCTTTTATAATTTTCTCATTTTGAGAGGTTGGATATATGGTCTTTTATATTTTTTAGAAAATTTATATAATTTATATGTTTATAAGCTAATATAAGCCTTAAGACTTTTTCCTGATGTGCCCCTTACATGCCACACCCTCAAGACATATTAATTCAGCCACATTTGCTCTCTTGACACTTTCATATTCTTCAAGTTAGGAAATGTGCAGACTTGAGAATATCTCCAGATGTAGATAATATAGTAGATTCAAGCTAGATCTACACAGGGTTGGAGGAAAAGAAGGGACAATAAGTAGTAGCAAAACGCTTTAATGTGGAGTGCAATATAGTATGGGTAGATACGTTTGTTGTAACCAGTAGGTTTCATGCAATTGAGGAATCAGCTCTTCTTACTCTGCAAGCTAGACCAAGTTACTAATGATAAAAGGGTTGCACATTGACAACACCTTAATGTATGAAACTATGTCTGCCTACTGATATGCATTCCCTTTCTGTCCCGTGACGCTAATATAATGATAAAATAATTATATGCGTGAGCGAAATCTATAATTTAGCCTGACAGATCACGGAAGACAGAACGTCTTTCTTATTTTCTTCAATTCTGAACAATCCTGCTAACCATTTGTGAGAAATCGGGAATAGCTTAGGAGTAAAATACTGACATCACCACGACACTTATGAAAATAGCTCGACGTGAAGTCAATGATTTTGAGTGATCCGTCGCTGCATCGGACAACATTCCGGGGCTCGAAGTCACAATGATAAATCCCTAATCCGTGCAGTGTCGATAAGGCATCGTACAGATCTTGTCTATAAATTTGGTAAGTTTTTTTTTGAGACTGTATAGGTGCTAATGATGCTATTCTCACTTCTCAGTTGGCGATAGTTCTGACCACTCCCCGTCATGCTTGAGTACATTCCCTTCGTAATCCATAAGTAATGCCCATGTTTGGCTTGTCTCGAATAGTCCGTAAAACTGCGGTATAGCCTTGACAGGCCCCGAAGACCTCTGAGCGATACGGCGATATACATCGAGCTCTTTGAAAAGACGCTTGGCACAACTCTCTTCTTCGAGTGTTTCACCTTTCCCGACTGTTTTTATTGCGTATCTTCGAGGTTCGGAAGCTCCCTCGAGTTCGTCGCCTTCAGAAATCGCTTCGTAGACAATCCCAGTCGAACCACGTCCAGCACATCCCAGTACACAGAGTCGAACATGGTCGTTGCCCAAAGCCGGAAAATCGTTGGTGTCCACAGCGCGAAATTCAAGCCACCGCCTATGCTGAAAGGTTTTTGGTGACCACGTGACCTGAAAAAGGCTTAATAAAGAATTTAAGAAAGCAACGCAGCCGAAATTCCAAAATTCTTACAAGGAAATAAGAAGACAAAGTTGATGAATTGTCGCATTTCTTTTGGGATCGAGTGAGTGGCGGCTCAGAATTTGTCACTTGGGCTCCACCTTTAAAAGATGAATACCGCTGCTCTGGCAGTGTGGATGTATCAGAAGGTTCTTTTGTTGCTGGAATTGGCCGAAGCCGCCCATTCATGTCAGCGTTGGAGGGAACATCAATTTCCCTTGCAATAGCTAGTAACATCCCAAGTGATGCACGGAACGCCCTGGTGTTGTCTAGTTTTTCGACAGTCGAATATGTGATATATGGTAATTCGCCCACACCACGACTGTGCAGTCGGAAGAACACCCATTTCGTGTAGCACGTCAATCCAAGCCACTCTTCGCCGAACAATTCCATGTACAAAAATACCTGAGTGGATTGATTCAATAATAGAATTCTTGGGTGTCCTTGACTCACACAGACCTTGATAATGACTTTCATTCCTGTCTCGGGTGTCTGCAAATCCAATGGTATGTAGAGACCGACTTCGGCATGGGACAGCTCAGAAAGATCTTCCGCGGCCAAGTCAAAGACATCTAGTGCCTTAATATCGACTAGAGCCTTCTTGTCTTCCCTTGTGGATAACAGAATGTCTACCTTAGTCCCGACACCTGGGGCTTCGTGTTTATTGCCAATTCCAATGGGGTGACCCAGAGAGATCATGATCGAGCGTAAAAGGTTCAGATGTCTCATCGAAAACTTTAATTTGGCCTGGAAATTGTTAAATTATGAAAAGGAGCTTCGCAACAAAGGATGGAACTTACATTCGGCTTCCTTCTAACGTCACAAATCCCCTGCATGTCAGAGCTATACAACCACTCAAACTCCCCTTCGATATACTTTGGTATAGGGTTTTTGCCAAGCTCATTAAGAGCATTGATAAGTGCATCGACCAACTGTGCATCGCGGCGAGCTTCTATTACTGTGTAATGCGAGTCCAAGCGAGACAACACTACCTCTACCTCTATATCAGTCACGGCAGTGAATTCCGACCGGTGACTCGGAGGTGCAACGGGCGGACAGTAGAATTTAGCATGGTCGCGAAGATAGTCTCTGAGAGACGTCATGATACCAGAAGGTTTAGACAGGCTCGAGGACTCAGACAGGCAAAAAGACCGTGGCTACTGGCACGACCATGTGACATGCGCATGACTTAGGAATGGTGGCTAGCTGCTTCAGGGAGTAAAGCCTGGAGTAAAGCCGTTGGACCATCCTTTGGGGCCTTGTTGAGCTCAAAAATTTGGTGCGTGAGTTAACGCACTTTAATGGAATAACCTAACTCACGGTGGATGTTAGAAGCAAGTAACCTGTCTCTCTGCTGGTCATATGTCTTGCCGTATGTCTCAGTATTACTATTACAAGATAACCAGAAAGATTACGTAATTACAAGCACTTATAGGTGGGTTTACAGCCGAATATCATCCATCTAATGTAACGCGCATTTGACTCATCTCGTGTACAAGCTATCTAGCAATATTTCCTGGTATTACACGTTCATTTTTGTGAACAATTGCATTCATATAGTTGACTAGAGTTTGGTTACATAATTGCGTATTGTTCGACAGAAAAAGAAATGACTCACGTGCTGCACTAATGGATTGCCGTCCTAGACTGTAGACACGAGGTATCTTGAACGAGTGGTGCAGGCTCTTCATCCTCTGGGACTTCAACAAGCCGAGCCTACATGCCAACGTTGGATGAAGCATTGATATTCATTACAACGGCTAGCATCACCCCCAATAATGCACGGAATGGTCTGGTATTATTCTCGCTGTTCGACGGCCGAGTAAGTGAGGAACGGCACCACGCCTACACCGCGACTACGAAGTCGGAAGAAAACCCATTTCGTATGACAAGTCAGCACAAGCCACCGCGCTTCTTGTGAGCCCATATAAAGGCATACCTCTAATGAGATGATTTAGCAGTCCTTTACATGTAACTGCATTGCACCAACCTTATGCATCACTTTCTGTTCATTCGGTTCTGTCGGCTGATCCAAGTTTATCCTAAAGCTTGGCACGTTTAACTTGAGGTACTTCCTCCCTCTCACCTTCCTCAAAAACACATGGACTGATAGCCTCGACCAGTGCTTTCTCACCATTGGATGTCGAGATCTTATAGTCCACCACCGCCTGAAACATTTCAGATGGTGTGCGTTTACGGTGAATTATAATCGGGGAATTGAGTTCTGCCATGATTATTCTTAACGTCGCTAGAGGTCCTTCATCTAGGAACGCACGGACCTAGATATGAATAAAAATATTAGAAAATTTAGCTTCCATCTTTGAATTTAAATGTCGTATTCACGTCCACCTCTCCTTCGATGACCTCGCAACTTCTGCTTTGTCTCCGGTAAAGCTTCTGAAAGTTTCCATTTAGCTTGATAGGGCTTCCTGACCCAAAAACGTCTCAGAAATGCCGATGAGTGCGTCAACTAAGTTCGCATCGCAGCAAGCTTCCGTGGGCTTCCGTTCAATCGACAATTTGCTCAATGTCCGTCGCTTTCAGGTTGGAGGAATTTTCTTGACCGCTTTCAACGTGTGGACAATAGAAATGAGCCTGATCGCGTAGGTAGTCTGTAAAAAGCATCGGATATTCATAGCACTGGTGTCGGGACAACAGTCGATCTCTAGTGTCAGAGACACAATCGTGTGATATAGTACACATGACTCCGAATTTCGAAATTTCCCCTTTCCAGGCTTGTTACTCCCTCTCTTTCTGGTCCTGTCATAGATCATTTTCTCTGGTCAATGATGTAGCAATGTTAATATGTGTCACAATCTAGCTGAAAGAGACAGGGAAGGAGTATAAATGTGAAAGTTGAGTCTTTTTCGAAATAAAGAAAAGAAACGTAACTTAAGAAACAAGATACAATTCCATGTTTGGTATTCGTGAGATGTCTACACCAAAGGTACTACTGTTCCATATCTCAAACCAGTGTATTATTCGTTGCAGTCTTGACCTGGGTAATCTGAGCAATGGGAAGATTCAGATCGAGGTGGATGCTTACTATTCAGGAAGTCTAGCAATCAATGACTGCACGGAACAGCATAAGCAATGTAGCCTCGATGAGACTGTAATTAGAACCGCACGCATGTACCAGTTACTCGTCTAGCGCAAAATTAACATTGGATTTCTGACCACAACGAATTCATTACTGAATCCTATTGTTTTACCATCAAGCGTGAAACAACAAAGGAAGTCTTCACGAGAGGATCGCCCGTTCAGAAAGAGAATAAAGGACCAGAACGGCCGTGAGATTGGTCAAAGCAGACATTTCAATTTTCTGTGGTGGTTGCACCAGTCAGAAGGAGAAAGACTGAATGAGTTGTGACGCGCGTGTCGAACGCCAGTTTTGGCAACCTACAAACTCACACTGAAAACTCGATATGCTTTCCTGTCAGCGACCACAACAACCCGTCCTCGCTGCGGTGTCCATCGACCTCCTACTCTTCACATTGTCACCATCGTGTTTCGGGGAGACAAGAACGGCGCAAAACCGTTGAAAATTTAGCAAGAACGGCCTTTATACGTGTCCAGGCGATTATCCTCGGCTTTCACGGCGCACACTCCTGATTCTCGGCTGCTTCTTACTTTGTTTGCTATTACGGGGGATTATAATTGACCCTTTGTCCTACATGGTAGCCTGGCCTGACCGGGTACATTTGGAATGGTGCGCGCAAGGGCGAAATCGACTGCGACTGATGTCGCGCAGGCAGCGCGGCTTTCACGCATGTCGGACATGACGCCTGACATTCTTGCATCGGAACGCGAGACCTTGATACAGGATAAGCAGAAGGAGTTAGGGAAGATCTTAGCTAGACATGACGGTCTCGTGCGCACCGTTCGCTTTCTGCTATTCTTGCCCAATCGCTAACACTTGGTTCGCAGATTCGGGAGCAGTTCCAACTTGAGAACTATGGTCTGATGCTGTTCTACAACCCCGAGGTATGTTCCTTTCATGCCACAACTATATGAGGCTGACTGTGTCAAAGGTTGCGAAAGACGATCACACAAACGAATTTCAACGGGTGAGTCCGAAGAGTTACTCATCACGCGACAAATACTAATACCACATACAATAGTTTAAAGATAGCCATGACTTAATGCGATTCATGCCAACTTCGGGACCATCCCGGACGACGAGGCGTGCTCAGACCGACCGTATATCGGCTTTGGCACAATTGTCTGAGCCTTCATCTGTCGTGAGTACGCCCCTTTCACCGGGCGCGTCTTTAAAGCGGGGCGACCAGGCGCCTTCGCGTGTTGCATCAATGAAAGGAAAGCAAAAGAAAGCCGTAAGACCTGTCACTATGAATGGTACTGAGAGCCATATAAGTGCAAAAGCCCAGGGGAAAAGAAAGGCGGTGGATGTCGCTCCTGGTGCAGAAGCTTCTTTGGACGGGGAAGGCGGTCTCGAATCTATAACTGTATGTCATACAGGATTTAGACCACGAGGGCGATTAAAAGCCGGGAGTAGTCTTTCGGAAGTATCTTCCCGCAAGTCGCGTTCACTATCGACTTCCACGGACCTTGCTTCCGCAAGCACTGCTATGGTATCCGGTAGACCGACTCGAAGTTCTTTACGTTCCGAGGGGTCCGACGTTTCCCAACCATCGAAAAAGCGAAAGGTATCGATGAACGACGTTAAATCACACCGACAGCTTCGCGTTGCGGGACAGTCATCATCTGCAAAGTTGTCATCACCTGCAGAAACCCGCCCAACAACGTCCGGGAAGAGTCTTCCGGGAAAGGCACTTCCGACAAATTCTACACCTCTGCCTCGCCCTACCATCAAACGTATAAAGCTTATTGTTCGACCACCACCAAGAAACCTATCTTCTCCCCGCCAAAGACCAAACCCTCCGCTGTTCAACTATTCCTTACCTGCGCTCTTAAACTCATATGTTGAGATCGACGGGAAAAGCTACAGTTCCTCTGAATTAGAGGCTGCTGCAAGGCGAGATGCCCGCATTCTGAATAGGATAGACGAGTTAAGAAAGAGAGGCCGATTTCCGGTTCGCGGCTTCGGTGGCCTTAACGGTACCTCTACGCCAACACACCAACCTTCCGATATCTGGTCCATCGTCGTCAAAGATGTAATTGCCGCTCGAAATACAATTTCACGACATCGGTTCGGGCATGGTGGTGCTCTAGCATCAGTTGTGCATACCAGGTTACATGCACATTGGGACCTGCTGAGAAAGGATTTGGAACGTGAACAGGTGCAGGAAGAACGTCGGTTACGTGCCTTGGCGAAGTCAATCTTACGATTTGTAATTGCTGAATGGAAGAAAGCGGTGTTTCATGTGCGTGAGCAGATGAGGGTGGCTCTCGAGGCGGAAGAGGCTCGTCGTGGGAGATTACACCTTGATGAGATTCTGGATCAGAGCGGCCAGATACTTGAGAGGCAGCAGTTGGAGCTCGTGAGGTCGGGATCTGTGAGCGTGGATAATGACGAAGAATTTGATGAAGAAGATGAAAATGAGGATGAAGAGACGGAACTTGAAGGGAGTGAAGCGGATGGGGACGAGAGCCGAGATAGCGAAGTCGTGACTGAGATGGAGGACGAGATGGATGAAGCCATATCCGTCCAGGATGGAGAGAGCTATATTGACTATAGTGCTCCCCTCAATGACGTCGAAGACAGTATGGATAACGTGTTGTCAAACATCGAACTTTTGGCTTCCGAAGAAGGCGACATCCCACTATCGAAGACGAGTCTAGAGGGACGTATAGTACCTGTAAAGGTCAACGGCATTTCGAAGACGGTAGTCGAGCATGACGCTAGTCCACCTCGACTTCAAGCCATACATCCGCTCCTCGATGAAGACAACTCCTCATCGAAAGCCTCACTCGAATCGAACTCGCTTGCAGATATCCAGGCACATAAAGATGAGCTGTTGAGCATGGGATTCGAAATTGGACCAGAAACACAGGACATTCCTATGCTGGAAATGAGTAACGGCTTAGAGCAAGATTCGGTTATCTTGCATAACGAATCGTTGGCGGAGGAAAAGCCCATTCAGATAAGCAAGCCGTCAGAACTTCCCTCGACTGAGCCTGTTGTTGATGCCGTCGAGGACGATTCACCGATGCAAATCTCGCCAGTCGATATGGAAGATGTTGATACACGACCGAAACTGACGAACGGTCATGTCAATCATGTTCATGTTGGTGATACTTCAGCAGACGTACAGACCGCTACTGGCGATACGGAGGACTTGACTCAGGGAATGAATGGGAGTACCGTTGACGGCGCGAAGCCCACTCCCCAAAGCGCCAATATTAAATACGCAGTTGAGCCCGGCGACGATGCACAGAAAGAAGAACTAGCGACAGAATCCGAAGAGGATGCAAAGAGCGTCGGCGGGGATGCAGCGTCCGAGCTCGAATCAGAGTGGGAACCCCCGCCTGAGCTACAGTCGTATGCTGTAACCCACGTCAATTGGGAACCGGGTTCGAAGATCGTCCCTCCCTTATTGCTTCGAGGGAACCTTAGGCCGTATCAGCAGTCCGGTTTGGAGTGGCTTGCATCCTTGTACAACAATGAGACGAACGGAATATTGGCTGACGAGATGGGTCTTGGGTTTGTACACTTTAGTCTTATTCACAGAACTAGATTGCTCACAGGCGCATATAGTAAGACAATTCAGACAATTGCTTTACTAGCACACCTTGCGTGTGATCGTGGCATCTGGGGACCACATCTTATCATCGTACCGACGAGTGTTCTGCTCAACTGGGAGATGGAATTCAAGAAGTTCCTTCCGGGATTCAAAATTCTTAGTTATCACGGCACGACGAAACGGCGAAAAGAACTTCGGCAAGGCTGGAACAATAAGTACAGGTTCAATGTGTGTATCACGTCTTATACGTTAGCTAGCCGAGATCAGCATATCTTTAAACGCAAGGCTTGGTATTACATGGTCCTCGACGAAGCGCATATGATCAAGAACTTCAAGTCGCAGAGATGGAATATCTTGCTTATGTTCCGTTCATTTCGTCGGTTACTGTTGACCGGAACACCTCTTCAGAATAACTTGACAGAGTTGTGGGCTTTGTTGCGGTTCCTCATGTCGGGCACGAACTTTGCAAATCAAAAGGAATTTAGCGAGTGGTTCGGAAGTGCGTCGAGCATCTTGTTTCTCGATTGGTTAGAGAACTTATCTGATATACTTCCCCGTCAGTTCCTTTGGAGAAGGCCATCGAAGTAGGAAACCTCCAAGATCAAGAAGTGCAGTTACAGGTGATGAAGCTCCATGAGATGCTCCGGCCATTTCTTCTTCGCCGTATGAAGAAGGACGTGGAGAAAGAGTTGCCCAAGAAATACGATCATCTTGTCCTCTGCAGATTGTCGAAGCGGCAACGATTTCTCTACGACGAGTTCATGTCGCGAGCCCAGACGCGCGAAGACCTCAAGTCAGGGGTCTATCAGAAGATCGCCAACATCCTCATGCAGTTACGCAAGGTCTGCAACCATCCTGATCTTTTCGAAGTGAGGCCGATTGTCACATCCTTCGCTATGGAGAAATCCGCGATCGCCGAGTTCGAGATTAGAGAGTTGCTGATTCGACGTAGACTTCTTGAGGATGATGACCGCTCTTCGCACATCAACCTCGACGTTCTTGGTCTTCAGTTCACGCGTCTCTGCAATACGTCCTTGATTGCTTCTCACGCAACGCGATTGCTAGAGGAAAGTTTAGCTGCAGAGCTGGGTGCGGCCGAGCCAGGCGAGTCTCCACCGCGAGACTTACGGACAATCGAGGGCTTTAGGAAATATGATGCATATCAGCGGCGTCTGTCGACCTTCTTGCGATACCAGCACATGAGCTATCTGAACAAACTGAGATGCAACCGACATGTCGCGTTTGGCCTTGAAACCATCAACACGGTCAAACACTTCTACAATCCACTGACCACCGAGTGTGAGACGGAATTCATGTCGGAATGCAGGCCGGCGAACCATATGATCAAGTCATATCTCCAACGAGCGGAAGAGATGGAAGATGTGATTGAGAAATTTGCATTTGCTACTCCCGCAGTCGTGGCCCGAGATATCTCAGCGTTGGTGTTACGAGAGGTACCGGAGGGCGCCATTAAAAGCCTTCCTATGGATTTCGATGCCGTGCTGCACAAGCCTACCGTCAAACTGCAAATCGCGTTCCCTGACCTTTCTCTTCTCCAATACGATTGTGGTAAACTCCAGGAGCTTGATTGGCTACTTCGTGAACGAAAGGCCGGAGGACATCGTGTGTTGATATTCACGCAGATGACCCGCATACTGGATATACTCGAGTTGTTCTTGAATTACCACGGGTATCTTTACCTTAGACTTGATGGAGCGACGAAGATTGAGGATCGCCAGTATATCACCGAGCGATTTAATGCGGATCCAAGGATTTTTGTTTTCATTGCCTCGTCACGTTCTGGTGGAGTTGGCATAAAGTGAGTGCTCACCGCACATTAATACCGTTAATGACGACTCTAACACTGTATATTTAGTTTGACTGGTGCAGATACAGTCATATTCTACGATAGCGACTTCAATCCTCAAATGGACAAGCAATGCGAAGATAGGCATGTGCTCCATTTCATGATTAATTAAAATCACTAACTCCTCAAACAACAGAGCCCATCGAATTGGCCAAATTAGGGACGTCCATATCTACCGGTTCATCTCACAATACACTGTTGAAGAAGCTATGCTCCGCAAGGCAAATCAGAAACGCTCCTTAGACGATATTGTCATACAACAGGGTGATTTTGACTGGAAGAACTTCTTCCGCGCTGATGCAGACGCGAATGGAGATACCTCCTCATCTAACGTCAATATGAACGCGACGGCGCTACAGACAGCGCTAGTGGAGTTCGAGGATTTTGAAGATGCGGAGGCGGCTAAGTTTGCTGCGAGGGAAGCTGCGCTCGTAGAGGGTGAAGATCGAGCGGAGTTCGGGGAGGCGGTGGACACACCCAAGACGCCAACAGCTCGTTTCGGTAGTGAAGAATGTGCGACGGCTGTACCTGTGGAAGATAGGGAAATCTCTACTACCGGTGATGTTGATGCACAGCAGCAGGGAGGAATGGATGATGCGGAAGAGGACGAAGAGGAAGGAGGGACAACAATTGATTACATGATTAAGTTCGTCCGTTCGGATCTCGAGTTCTTTAGGGAGTGGAAACTTCCTTAACTTCCTTAGCGTTGTTGGATTCGTAGTATATCTCTTCTTTTCTTCTTCATAATAATACCTTATCTCGGTCATCATTTTTTGTCTCGTTGCGATTTACAATAATTTCCTCACCTTCACTTTCTTGACTTTTTGTTTTAATGATACTGTTTCTATCTGTGTTGCTTGTACAGGATGGTGCTGGTGCTTCTGAAGATAGTATGGGTGCATAGTATTACAAGGAACTGATTAGTAGAGAAAAGGACAAAGAGGAAGTAGGGACACTCTTGATAAAGTGATAAAGTTCATACTGTTCAGAGTTTAAGTTTTTAAGGGGCAAGGGGGACAAATTGCTTTCACAGCTCCCCTCTTTTTAGGAAATCTTGTACAGTAATACATTATACTGCTTATTTTGTCAAGGAACACAGTAGATTCCTTATTTGAAATTCTCAAGCATTGGTTTTTGTTTCCCTACAAATTACACATTACTACTCTTTAATACTAATTTTATTTTCAAGTTTTCTTTTCTTTTGAGCCTTATCAAGTAAATGAGATAGGGACTTCTCATTATTATTAGTGAGCAACAGAGCAAGTGTCTTACAGAAATTTTTAGAAAGAACACAAACTTAATATCTTTAGAGTTGACTTTGGAGAAATATATCTGTCTCTTATATATTTATTACAGACAGTGATTGCTTAATCAGATAATCTAGTTTATACAGTGCCCCAGTATCTGAGAATTTTGATAGGTACACACACTGAAAACTTTTAGACTATGTACTAACAGATTATCAAACTGAATCCCCTGTCTTCTGAACAGTAATGATTTGACCTGTCTAGTAATATTACATCTCATTCACAAAGCCCTTCAGTAATCAGAATCATCTGCTTCTGTCTACTTAATTATACACAATCATAATGTCCAACTATATATACATGTAGATTCTCATGTCAGAGTCAACTCTACCACACTCTAATCTGATCAACCTAATCCAAAATAGTAGACAAAGTGTAAATATATTTGAATCATTGTATAAGTATATCCTTTATAAAGAGAAGCTGAGTTGAATTTGTTGTACTCACACACTCTAGATGGTGACCCAGACACTGGCTTACAGACAAATCCACACTTTACATTCTTGTTCATCTACTGTAGACATAGATTCTAGTGTGCATCAGGAAAATTCAAACTACAACAGATGTCTATATTAGGGGAGATGTGTTCTCTAGGTTGATAGTACTCTCATACTGTAAATGTAGACCTGCAGCCCTTAAACCAACTATATTCCCAAAGCTACCAGCTAGGATTTATGCTAGGAGAACAAGTAGGAATATGAGAAGAGTCAAAAAACTAAGGAACTACTGTATCTACAGATTGCTTTTTATAATAACTAAATAACAAGAGTAAAGTAAGGAATGAAACTTGAGAATAAGATTAAAGAAATAATAAGAACAATTATTACAAAGCCAACAGGCACATTAGAGGCTAGGAAGAATTAACAGAGTATTGTGTATTAAAGAATATAGGCTAAGAGGCCATTACACAAAAGAGGTGCAAGTTACCATATTGAGTAAGAAATAGATTAGCTACATTGTAATTGTATACACTACCTTGTGTCTCTGTAGCTCTCTCCTACACTTAACACTAATACAATCTCTATGAAACTTTGTAGAACAATAGATGAGATGTTAAGAATTATGAAAATCTAGTAGTAATGTTGGTTTTTCACAAAACTGACAGAGATATAAAGAAAATGAAATAGGTCTAATCCTACAATCCTAACATTACCTCCCTCCTTAGGTTGTACATCCTGGACAACTGAATCTAGGGGCTATTTTACTTAAGTAAAGTGTTAAAGTCCCTAAAGGTTCCTTTTAGAATGTTCAGTTGTCTTAGAACACTAGGATGGGCTTTGTAGAAATCTCTAACAGTATCCTAAGTATGAGTAAGGTCATTTTCAGACTGTCAAGTTGCTTCCTAGTATCCTACCCATTTAACAAGGAACTAAAGCTTTCCCTTATAGAGTTGAGAGTTAAGGATAGTCTTGACTTTGTATTCAATCTTATTATCTACAAGTTTTAGGGGAGGAGGAGGAGGAGCCTTCTAAATATTAAAGGCTTGAGGAACATATGGTTTGAGCAGAATCTTATTGAACACTGAGTGAATCAACCATCTCTAAGATAGTTTGAGCTTATATACACTAGCTCCAACTTTTGAGTCAACCTTAAAGGGACCAAACTACTTGTTATTAAACTTTTTAGTAGGTCTAGTAGTCTTTATGTTTCTTGAGTCTAAACATACTATATCTTCTAACTTGTACTGTATAGAGGGGCTTGAATAATGATTATAGTACTTCTTTATAGCTTTAGCAGCTTAGTCTAGACTTTTCTTTACAAGTTCCTAAACATCTTTAATATGCTTAGTCTATTGTTTAACTAAATATGTACTAGTCTCAGTCAAAACTGATTCAAAGCCTACAGAGTGTCTTCTAAAGTTGACATAGAACAGAGAGAACTTTGTAGCAGAGTGTTCTCAATTGTAAAATACAAACTTAGTTATAGAAATCTATTCTGCCTAGTCTGACTACTTATAGTCAATATACAAGTAGAGATACTATTCTATCTCTTGATTAATATACTCAGTTTGACTATTAGTTTGAGAATAATATACTGTAGAGGGATTTCCTTTAATATAAAGAGCTTTGTGTAAGATATACTCACTTTACTAGTTCTAATTATTAGGAATAGTAACAGAATAGAGTATAAAGGGTAAGACTTGTAGACTTGTAGAGTGAG